AAAAAAAAAAAAAAAAATGAAACATCACATTTGGGGGGAAAATTTTTATTAAATCATTGTTCCCATCCTTGGCTGCACATGGGAATCTCCCATGCAGCTTTAAAAAGTACCGAGGTCTCCCCGGGCACTCCAATTTCTGGTTTAAGTGAGTCTGGGCTGCGGCTCGGGCACTGGTAGTTTTTAAAGTCCTGTAGGTGATTCATGGTGCTTCCGAGGCTAAGAATCCACCACACCTTAAATGTTCATTCAGCCACCTCTGGAGGTGGCGAGGGGACAACACTCAGCTCGAAGCCAGACCACCTGGGCTCTCAGCCTTCTTCGTCATTATCTTAATCTATAAAATGAAGGTCTTAGACTTTTCCTCCACCTTTCAAAAAGGCCAGGTACCAGACAACTAGACCACCCCCTACATCCCAGAGCTTGCTGAAATTATTCAAATCAGCCAATCCTAAACCTGCTTGCCTTTGCCCTGCCTTGCCTTGTCTTTCCCTTGGAAAACACAAGAGCTTCTGCTTCTGCTTTATTCTCCTCCCCTGCCTTCTGACACACCCTGGTGCTTCCCCATGTGGCCCTGCAAGGTGTGGTGTCCTCCCCTCCTCACTACCCCATCCTAGTCCAGGAACTGTGAGTAACAAACTATCCTTTCAGTGGTAATTGTCTCCTGATCTATTGGCCTCACCATGCCTGAAAAATAATAAAACCTATGTTTTAAAGTACCTTATCAATATATACTGAAGAGGTCAATGAAAAAATTACCACAACGAAGAAAGGGCAGTTAAAGTACTTGACAAGGACAGGAAGATGAAGAAGCAAGTAAAGATGGTTTCCAGAAAGGGCAGAATGTCCTGTTTTCCAGCCAGCCAAAACATTCTCTCAAGCTCCCAGACCTGCCACTGTTCCATACAGATATCTCACTATAAATGCGATGACAACAGTGACTAGGATGAATCTCAGTTCACCAAACTGGGATTCCTTAGGGTATGAGAGGAAAAAGCAGGGAAAGGGGTGGACACTGAGTAAAGGAAATCATACTGGCCTTGTCTAACACAGCATACTTCTGTACCATATGAGCATAAATATGTGTTTTTTGTATATACAATTAGGTAGAAGACAGCTCATTTAATGCAGTATCAGGATTACACTTTGACAATTTTAGTATGGCTACAAACATTTCAACATGGTTGCTCAGAGTAGGTAGATGATGTCAAAATGAGAGAAATTAGTCATGATGGTTGGTGATGTTGATATTCGTGTTTTTTTATTTGAACAAACTTACGGGGTACAGTGAAATTTTGTTACATGTATATAATACACAGTGATCAAGTCAGGGTATTTAGAGTATCCGTCTACCTGAGTACAATATATTTTTGTTTAACTATAGTTACCCTATCTGCTATCAAACATTGAATTTATTCTAACTGTATGTTTGTACCCTTTAACCCACTTCTCTTCATCCTCCTCCCACCTCCTCACTCACCTTTCTTAGTCTCTGTTATATATCTTTTCACTGCTCTACCTCCATGTGATCCAATTTTTTAGCTCCCACATATAAGAGAGAACATGCGATATTTGTCTTTTGGTGCCTGGCTTATTTGACTTACCTCTAGTTCCATGCATGTTGCTGCAAATGACATGATTACATTCTTTTTTTTATGGCCAAATGGTATTCTATTGTGTATATATACCATTTTTTTTTATCCATTCATCCATTGATGGTCACTTAGGTTGATTCTATATATTTGCTATTGTAAATAGTGCCACAATAAACATGTGAGTGCAGATATCCCTTTGATATATTGATTTCTTTTCTTTTGAGTAGATACCCTAGTAGTGGGATTGCTGGATCGAATGATAATTCTAGTTTTAGTTTTTTGATAAATCTGTATACCGTTTTCCATAGTGTATAGTCACTATTTTATATTCCCACCAAAAGTGTATGAGTTTCCTTTCTCTGCATCCTCTCCAACATCTGTTATTTTTTTTATCTTTTTAGCCATTCTGTGCAGGGCGTGGTGGCCCTATTCTTTAGATGGACACAAAACCGTATACTGGGTCCCTTGTGGGCGACAGGCTTCCGCGGAAGTCGCCAAGGGCCGGCCGAGATTTTCAAAAGGGCCGCGCCGGGAGCGAGACTAACCGGGTTCACCCGTCAGTGGGACGGGCCCTGCGCTGACCAGAAAGGGGCTGCCAGAAGGGGACGGCGGCGTCAGAGGGATGACGCAATCAGGCGTCGCGCGGAGGGTGACGCAAGGCGTAGACGTCGGCGGGCTGCGCCTGTTACGCCCCGGAGCTTGTTGCGGAGGAGGAGCGGGCGCCATGGCGGTTCTGCTGGAGACCACTTTGGGCGACGTCGTCATCGACTTGTACACCGAGGAGCGGCCACGCGGTGAGGCCTGCGCCCTGCTCACCTCTCGCCGGGGCCCCGAGCTTGTTCCCCTCCTTTCCCTTCTCTGCACAATCCGTGGTGGCCATTGGCTCGAGCTGCTGTTGCCCGCGACCGGGCTGTTTATTAGCGGGGTTTGCTTAGAAAAGTTTTTGTGAGAATTCGTTTGAGCCTCAGCAGCCCTTCTTCTGTACCTTGTGTTGGCAGTCGGGTGGAGGGTGCTTGCGGTCATTTGGGGTGGGGGTGTGGGGGGGCGTGTGTGCGATACGCGGGCTGCATATACAATACCCGTAGCTTTTGTGGCTTTACTGTGCTTTCTATTCTCGTGAGAGAAGCATAACTGTTACTTCATGTGTAATCAGTTAAGTCTTTATGAAAGCAGGTAGGATGTGATTGGCACAACGAATGTGGGCATCCCGCGTGGATGGAGGAAGGGGGTGTCTGGGAGTATGAACGGAGCCTGCAAGGCACTGGGCTGAGTCCTGGGCTAGGCGTCTCGCCCTTGAGGGTCTGATTTCCCATTGAAGGAAGTTGACGGGGGAACCATTTTAATTTTATAAGTGTTGTAGTAGAAGAATGTCTAAGTTGCCATGGAAACCAGAGGAGGAAGTAATTCTTCTTTGGTGGAGGTGGGGTGGGGAGAAGTGAAGCAAGGAAGACTATAGAACACTTGAACTAGCTCGTTCAAAGATGAGTGGGAATGAGTGTTTTCTTTGCTTGGAATTTTCTGGAAACGGCAAGTAGTTTGACTTGGCCGGAAGGAATGGTATGAGTTGTAGAATGGCAGAGTGCGAGTTTGGTCAGATACGTTTAGGTCTATCGTGAATGGTCTTGTGTGTTCTACTGATGACCAGAGTCTTTGAAACGTTTAAAAGCAGGATTGAAGATGGCATACTTGTTTTGGGAAGATAATAGGAAGCAATGTGGAGACCAGTACGTTGCAATCAAGGTCCTGCCCCCATGGAATGCAGAACCTATCAAAGAGGTTGAAACAAGCTGGAGTTACTATACAAGTGCCTCCTGCCTTGCAAAGCTTTCTCCCACACTCAGCTATTCCTCCCTCCTCCCCGTCGCCCTCCCCCCAACCCCAAAACACTACAAACTCTCCCATACCATCCTTACCATTCTTCTGTTGCCTCTAACCCACATTCCTCTCCATTCTTGCCCTTCTGGCAAATTTCTTATTTAAATCTCAGATCAAACATGATCTCTTCTGTGAAACTCTCCCTCCTCCCTAAGCAAAGTTATCTGTTTCTTCTGCTCTTTCTCAGGTCTTTTTATTAAATATAAACCACATGACACATTTTATTATAACATTTACCTATTGTCCTGGAATTATTTAAAAGTCTTGTCTCCTTTCAAGAATGTAAACTTCAATGAGAGCAGGAACCGCACCTTAATTATCGCTGTATCTTCAGTACCTAGTACAATGCCTGCTACTTGGAGGGCACACACTAGAGGTTCATTATATTGACTAACGCATATAAATGTGCTGTATTAATTAGGACTGTGCAAGTGATAGAAACCCAACTCAGACTGGCTTAAACAAAGAAGATTAACTGCCTCGTGTTATTGGGGTAAGCTTGGCTTTAAGTATGGCTAGATCCAGAGTTTAAAGGAATATTACAGACATTTAAAAAAACTTTTTTTGTAAACAGACACTGAATGAGGGAATTTTATTTTTACCTCTTGGTTTTGCTTTAAGTTCCTTTGACACTCTATCCATGCGGAGCAGCACCTGGCAAAATA